AGTACGATTGCTTCGAAAAAAAGTTCAGATCTTTCAACATATGTCAAAATAAAGAAAACATTTTTTTTTCAAAAAAAAAGATTTAAAAAAAAAATTTTATATAATTTTTTTTTCAATTTTTTTTTTCAAAAAAAGAAATTTTTTGTCAAATTTATAGTTTCTCAAAAATCTTATTTTTTTTAAGTAATTTTTTTTTCAAAAATGTTAATCGTTTTTAAAAAAAATAATAATTTTTGGTACGGGAAGTTCCAGCAATTTGCCTTTACCATTTAGTTTTTTTACCCCTGATTTTTGTTTAAAAATTCATAACAAATGTGAGGGGCGACGAGGGGCAGAGACGACGCTGCTAACGGACATTTGTAACATGGTACACTTGAGATTCGAAACCGGTATTTTCGTCCCTTTCCCGCTCTTGAGAAAATCACTAATTAGATAGGGACACTGATAGTTATAGAGAGACTTGCATATCTTTATATCCAACGTGCATATATACACACGTGTGTATATAATATATATATATATATACATGATGGTGATGTTTATAACAATATCAGTGCTGGTCCATATATGGTCCAGATAATAATGGTAATAATATAGTCAAATTTTAGCAGCTTTCTAATTCGAAGATTCTAGCAGAAGGCAGGTCCATAAGATGACAGCATATATTTTTGATATAACTTCTGCTTGAATGGATATCTATGTTTCTATATCCTTGATTTTTTCATAAATTCTCTAAGAAGTCCTTTCATTTCTTCTATTTTATGTAAAGGTGGCATTGTATATACGACACTCTTCTACTAGTGTGGGACCATCCCAGTTTTCTTTACATATTAAAGTTTTTACTCACCTACATTTTGCAGAACTTCTGCATTTATTATTTTGTTGGTTCATCCTTCTATATATTTGATGTCCAGGCAATGGAAGTCAATTTCTGGTATTTAGTAGTTTTTTTTCTGTACAGAAGATACACTTTTAGAAATACGAGTCCAACCCAGTTTTCTTTAGACAGTAGAGATTGTTAATTTTTCATTCTTTGCATTACTTTTAAAATTGTTACTTTGTGGTTCTATTTAATCTTGTCCACTCTTCTTATAGTATAATATATAAACCCCCCACGTGATATTTTGTGATGTTTTGCCAACCCCCCCTCCGCCTAAAAACACGTGATACATGGACGCCCCCTAGATATCACGTGTATTTATTTTTTACCTGAATTAAAAAAAACAAACATTTTAAAAAAAACATCCAAAATTTATCTTTTTTTTTTTTCCTAATTAAAAATACACGTAATGTTTGGTAGGGGATGGGGGTGCGATTAATTTTGAATATCACCACATATCACCAAGGGGGAGAAGGGTCCAAAAATCCTTAAAAATTAGATTACGTGATTAATGGACGCCCCCTTATATTATTAGAATCTTGTAATTGTGCTGACGTATAAATTACTTTTGATTATATCTTATATATGAAAATGAATCGCAAAATGTGTTGGTAAGCGGATAAATCAACAACGCCTGGACCAATTTGGCCAATTCTTTTTTTAAATGTTCGTTGAAGTCCAAGGATGGCTCTTACGGCGAGAAAAATTCGAATAATTGCCGGGAAAACCTCAAAAAACAGCCCTTTTTATTTCGCATACAAACGTTTTCTAACTAAAATGTAGAATCAATTTGAGCTTTATTGCTATTATATAAAGTTCATATTGAATTACAAGTACTCACTTTATACTCCTTCTAAACGATTATTCGGGTTTTGATAAATCTTTCTGAAGTTTGTTAAGAAAATTTTCTAGGATGTATGTGATGTAAAGCACTGGGATGTATGTGCAATATTGTAGAATTAAATGGAAAATGGAAAAAATTGAAAACGACATGTCATTGTTTGCATTCAAAACAAATGAAAACTATCATCTGCCAAAAATTTCAATTTACTTATAAACCTAGACAATATTAGAATATGTATAATAAATTTATGATAATGAATAAGAAAAATGAAATGTCTACATTATTATTGCCAAAAAGCAGCTGAGATGTGCCAGAAATTAAAATAATATAAAATACAGTATATGTATGGCAGATTGAATGATACACATATCAATAGGATGTGACAACTTAATTCACTTAAAATATGAAATTAAGTATTAATCAGGGCCGGTCCTACTTTTAATGCGATGCATGCGAAAAATACGAGCGCACGCCTTAGGGGGCGCCAACACAAGATTCGGATATTAAATTTTCAATATAGATTTCTTTAAATATATAATTTCTTTGCATCTTTTACTAATCATTCCACAATATTTTTAAAATTCGTAAAAAATTCACTTTATAACAACAAATGGGAAAGTAGAGATGAATACATACAATTAGGCTTTCACGATAACGATTAGGAGAAGTTTAAGATGCAATTTTGGATATCTTAAATAATAAAAAATGAAATTAATTTAATCTTACATGAAGTACTAGTGTTATGTTATGGTTATGATCATGTTATACCGTTTAAAAGACTTCAATTTCCAATATTAGTGTGGGAATCGAGACTCATCATTTTATTTAAAGCAGTTCTACATTTAACATCGCTCATCTATTATTATAAATGTACAATGCAATTTTGGCGTGAAGAGTAATTTAAAAAAATCAAATTATTATTTTTAGGTAAACGGTAAATATTAGTATATTATATTAAAAAATTGTAGACATTGGTACAGGACAACGTCTGTCGGGTCATCTAGTTTTTAATTAAAAACCGATGTCAATACTGCTTGACACCAAGTAGTTATTTAATTTAACCCTTCTGGCAAAACACTCCATTGTCTTTTATTACCATTTCGCGGATCTTCGGCCACCTTCGCCATGTAAAGCACTTGTCAACGTACGAGTCCTCCACTTGGCCACTCGTTCCTTCTACTACTACTACTAACACCATACCAACGTTCTATGTATTCATAATAATAATAATAAAGAAGTAAAGAAGAAGGATAGTCAATCTGTTTTTCAAACTTTGCTTTCAGTTCTTGTCTTGACTTCGTGAAACATAGACACAGAGATAATATTATATTACAACATACATACATTCATATCTTGTTTAAATAATAATTTAAGATAGATTCGTTTGATAAATAGAGTCGGTTGTGTGATAAGATAATTATTAAAAAAAATTGTAAGAGTGATAAATAAAATTGTGTTTGTGCTTTTAATGTGTGTGGTAAAAAATTATTAATAAATGCAAAGGTAAACGTTGATGAACGTTGATTGAACGTATTGATTTGATTAAAATATTGTCTTCGGTATTTTTAATATTTATAATTATCAAAAATTAAAAAAAAAAGGTGTATATTTTTATTAAGCCCTTTGTATATTCTCTCCATTCTCTCTATAAATATAATTAATTTATTTAAACCGCTATAAAAGCTTAAATTTAGCAAGTTTACAACCTAATATTCAATATATTAACCAATTACCTAATATTTTTTATATTTATTAAATACTTTGTTTTTAACATTTGGCTTCCCTTTTTTCTATAGTAATAATAACACTTAAAAATCTAGTTTCTGGTATTAAATGTTTGATCAAAATTTTGAAAATTCTTGATATCTAAAAAGAAATTTAGAATGTAAAAATAGCTAATTTTAATTTTCTTGATAAATATAGAATAATAACAAATAATAATTTAAGTGTTATTATTCTATATTTATCAAGAAAATTAAATTTAGCCATTTTTACATTTTAATTTTCAGATATCACTAATTTTCAAGATTTTGATCAAATATTTAATACCCGAAACTAGAATTTCATCATTTTTATATTTTACAATATTTTAATATATTATTAAATTAAACAATTGCGTTTTTTGCTCTTAAACAATTGCACTACATTTTATTCAAATAAATATTTAAATATTTTATGACTCGTGTTTGAACTTTCAGCTTTATAAATAATGCGTTTGAATAATTATACATTGTTTAAATAAAAAATTGTAAGGATAATTATTAAATGAAAACTTTGTATATAAAAGGAACATAAAAATTATAAAATTTTAATTACAAGAATAATATAAATATACATATTTGTTATATAAAGTATTTGTAATTTAGCACAGATTTTACTAAATTTAAATTAATATTTAATTGTTAAACAAATTAATTAAATTGAACTAGAATTTATTATTTAAATTTAATTCATATTTTACGACAAAACTAGATTTTTATTTTTCACAAATTTTTGCTTTATCAAATTTTAAATATTTATAATAAAAATAATAATAATATAATAATAACAATATATATTTAAATATTCAGAATAGAATTAAATATAATTAATTTTAAATATAATTATAAAAATTAAAATTACATATGAAGCAACAAATTTAATTATATTTCAAATAATATTCAAATTTTACTAGAAACTAATTTTTATTCTTTTTAATATTCTTATAACTTATAAAATTTTAAATGTTTAGAGAGGGAAGATGAAAATTTTATCATTATTTCTAAATATAAATATAAAAACATAAATCTACGTTTATAAATTATAATTTTTCTCTTTAAAATTAAATGTACCACTTTAATTATAAGTGAACTTAGATTTTTTAAATTAAATTAAAGAAAATGTTCAGAAAGTTTCTTTGTCAAATATAAATTTAATAATAATAATAATACTTTAACAATTTCATTCTATTAATTATATTAATATTTCAGTTTAATTATAAATTAACTTGGATTTTTTTTAATTAAATTGAAATATTGGTTCAGTAATTTCATTTTTCTTTTTCACATATAAATTTAATACTAATAATAATACTTCATCGATTACATTCTAATAATTCTATTAATATTTTAGTTTATTGTGCAAGATTTTAAAATTGACTTTGTAGTGTCAACTGAATTTATTTTATTAATACAAAAAAAAATTAAGTGTATTGACTATTCTGTTTAAATAAAACAACAGTGTTTGCATAATAAACAATTCTAATTTGTTTAAATCGTATGAGGTGATTTAAAAAGTGCAAACGATATAAAAAATTGGTTTCTTATTACAAAATGAGCTGTTTATAATAATTGGTGAGTAATACATGAGTTTTTAGATTAATAAATAATTAATAATTGTAATAATTATTAAATATTATTGGTAGGAACAATATAATGCTAACGCAAAATTTTAATATATTTAAATTTATTGGAACTTTGTTTTTGATTTATTTCTGGCATATATTTTATATAAAACTTGTTAACAAAATTTATTTATTTTAGTCCTCAAGATATTTTATTCCTTAAATATTTTACAAATTTCGTACTAATTGCACAGATTCAAATTTCCTGCCAAAATGTTTTTAAAATGATAACACAAATATAAAACTAGACATGTTAACATGATAATTTATTTATTTTTGTTCTTATTATATATCAATATAATATTTCATATACATTTTACTCATACTAAAATTCACAGATTCAAATTTCCCGCCAAAATATTTTCAAAACAAAACCGCCGAGCGCGCGCTTTTTAAATTCTGAATTAAAAAATCACTGCTGATGTAATCGGAAATATAAATAAATATTACACACATCTGCAGTTTATCAGCAATTGTTTAAATAACCGAGCAATGATAACAACTTTCAAGAATATTAATTAATTAAATTATTAAACAATTAAACAATAAATACTTGTAATTACTGAGTGCGATACGTGACTAGAAACATGTATGAGGAATCATCATACTTTAAATAATCATACTTTATGCAAAAAGATAGTATTTTATAATACTATTATATAATTAAAAATAATATCAGTACTTTTATAATCAATCACGGAATTTTTTTAAAAATTTTTATTGTCATCTGCTAGAAAATTTCTATGCTAAAATTAATTAGCAATTATAAAAATACTAAATATTTATTAATGCTAAATACTAAATATTAATTATTTATCCCTTTATTTAAATAGATTTTTTTTGGGTTTATGTATAATACTCCATTATATGAGTAATAAGAATATTACTAATTTTTTAATGAACCAAGTATTTAAGGCAATCTTGAAATTATTCCATAAATAATATTAACATCATGACAAATGTACAAAAAAATGTTTGTTGATATTTTTGATAAAAATAGTTATAATCATTCTTATATTCCATTTGTTTAATCAAATCTAAACACAAATATAGCTTTCTATAAAACTGTTATATAATTATTAAGAATAATACTAATTTTCTTAATAAACCAATCTTGAATTTAGAATTTAACTTTATTGCTAATATAATACAAAAATATCTCTTTCTTTGCTTTTATTAAGTCGATTTAGAATTTTTATTCATCAAATATTTATTTTTAAACATAAATTTCTAGTAATTTGCCTTATACACAGATTTTTAAATGCTGAAAAAATACTTTGTTGATATAGTAAAGGGATGGTCTAACATTAAATAAATATGAAAGTATTATGGAATTCATGTTATATATATATATATATATATATATATATATATAAATTTCTGTTCTTAAAGATATAATTTCTAGTTCGAGCTTTGTTGACTTTTTGTTATCACGCAACAAAGTTTCTTGGGAAGTCGTTGAACTTTAATAAAATATATTTATATATACACATAAATACCTACATAATTGTATCAATTTAATAAATGTACAATATCCACTCATCGTATTTAATTATATAAAACACTGAATATTATTACTATTATTGAAGCCAATTGGAAAATTGCATCCTCATCTCTGATGGAATAAATCATAAGAAGAAATTTCTTCAAAGATAAAATGTTAGAAAATACATAAAAATGTTTGTCTGTTTAATAAATTATATATTTTATTATATTGCAGACGTAGTTTTCAAGTAACTGTAAAACTTTAATGTGCACAGTAATAATAATATATTAAATTTATTGTTAATGGGTGGCTTTAGCTGCCATTTTGAATTAACTGTCAAAAAATGTTTATGGATTTTTTCTGAAATAAATTTAAAAATGTAGAGTCTTATCAAACTGCGTGTAAAAATATAAGTACATTTAATATAAAATAGTAAACAAGTTGTTTGACACAGTAATAATAATATATTAAATTTATTATTAATATTTAACGGATGGCTTTAGCTGCCATTTTGAATTATCTGTCAAACAATGTTTTTCGAATATTTTTAAAAAATATTTTTAAAAATGTAGAGTCTTATCAAATTGCGTATAAATTTCATAAGTTCTTTTAATATAAAATATAGTAAACACAAATAAAGTTGTTTGGCACAGTAATAATAATATCATAGATAAAAGAAGAGTATAATGAATAATATATTAAATTTATTATTAATATTCTAATGGTGGCCATAGCGGCCATTTTGAATTTCCCGTCAAATAATGTTTTTGAATTTTTGTTTAAATTAATTTGAAAATATAAAGTCTTATCAAACTGCGTATAAATTTACAAGTACTTTTAACATAAAGTAGTAAACTTGTATTTTGATAAGGTATTATTGTAATCTCATTTTTATCTCTTTGTGATTTTATCATTTAATACACAAGTAGCCAAGTTGAAATTGCCCAATATTAAACTATAAATGGGTTATTCATACAATACCTAAAAAGATACGATATTCTGCCTGTTTATCTCTAAAAATATAGATAATTAATTTGTTAAGCATTTTGAAATTAATTACAATGTTGATTTGTTTCAGGTGATAAAATGGCGCGCCCTTTGGGTTTGTCCAAAATTCTACTATTTTACATATCACTGCTGAATATATGCTTAATATCGGCTATAGATGAAAATGATTTTAGATATATATTATTTAAAGGTAAGTTGATAATAAATTCACATTTATTATTAAATATTTACATATAAAAAGTTTTGTAACTTGTCATTGAATGCAACTGTCACTTGTTGCAAGTTTGCAATGTAAAGAACTAAATAACGTATGCGGTTTTATTTTTAATACGCACTGTGCTCATAGATTTTATAAAACATTATGTTATTATAATATATTATATATTATTATATATTCATATATTATTATAATATATTATAATATTTTATTACATTATAAGTTCTATGACATTGCTAAATTCGCCATTTTTATCTTGGCCACACTGGCTGTCACATCTTTGCAAGATGGCGGATAGGATTTGAAAATATTTTTTGTAAATTTATTTTCATGAAATTAATGAGCAGTTTTTATTTAAAAAAAGTTAATTTTAAAATCTAAAATAGTGTAAATTGAGTATAACTATGTGATATTTGCACATAGTTATTGTAAAAGTTACAGGTAAATTAATAATATGGTTTTTATGAATTTTTATCAATTTGCAAAAATTATTTTTTGCAGTATGTTTTATAATATACAATATTTTTTATAGTAGATGTACTAGTTTTAGTATTTTACTTTTTAGTTTATTTATTGAAAGTCATTTCATAGTAATAATATTGCTACAAGGGTTATGTCTTAAATTTGATTCAATTCCATTTATTATAGGTTTGTTGAAGTATATGGAAAAATAAATAATATAAACTCATTATAATATTGCTTAAATCTATTGAATTTTCACTATATATTTAAATATACTATTTGACTTTAATTTTTTTAAATTTATTTATCAAATTAAACTTTACTCAAAATTTGAATTTGGTATGATGGTGAATGAGAGTACTCATTACTTAAGAATTCATTAGTTTAAAAAACAGAATTTTAACATTTATTATATCCAAATTTTTATTTTTATTTTGTTCACGGTTAAAGATTCAATTGAAGATTAGTTAATTAATCAAAACAAATTCATATATATATCCTAATTTAATTATTTCCATTAATATTTCAAATTTTAATTCTATTCGCATTCTTATTCACTGCAAGTACCTCAAACTTCATGTTCCAAGAAACAATTTGTCTGGAATATTTTATTTATAATATTTACATGTAAAGGTATTCCTAGTAAAGTAGATAATACATGCTAATTAGAATCTGTTAATTGGATAACTGTTTTGTAGGATTGTAGGACAGCATTTGTTCCATTACTATAGACATGTGTAAACTCATCATTTGTTTACACATTTAGATATTGGAACTTTTTTTTTAAGAAACAGCTGTTAAAAAGGTAATAAGTTGATAATTGGGTCCTGTGAAGAGGGATAGTAAGAATTTTTGTTGGTAAAAGGACTTTTAAGTCGTATAGACTTTTTTAGTAGTATAAATACCACTTTGTTCTTCAATGACACCATCTACGTGTCAGTATGTCTGCTAAGAATGCATCATCTTTCTTCTTAGTACACAACAAACCTCTTATCTGACACTTATAGAGATAAAACACGCAGAATTATCAGTAATATAAGATATATATATATATATATATATATATATATATATATATATATACATAAATCTTATGTCGATTTTTACTACTTTAATAGGAGCAATTAGAGCAAATTAGAGATAAACGGAACCCAAACAACGCATCATTCATTTACTTTAAAAATGTCATTATACATACTTAATAATACAAAGTATGATTCACTTTATTATATATTAAAATGTCAACAAAATTTATACACTGACACATGATATAATAATTTATATTATTTATAATAAAGAAATTCGTTATTTTTCCATTGGCCTCAATAGTTACAAAATTTTTATTTTAAATTTATCTTTCAAAAATTCATGTGCAGTTTTAAAAAATGTCTAAGGACATTTTATGATATAAATATAATTATATTTTAAATTATACATTTTTTATTCATTTACTGAAATACATAAAGAGATTATGATAATAGAGAAATTCGTCATTTCAATTTAGGTCTCTTTTTTCGGTTTTCCAAATTTTTCTAGAATGGTGGATTTGAAAATCTTTTTGTAAATTTATTTTAAAGAAATTTGTGTGCAATTTTATTTAATAAATAGTTAATTTTCAATATGATAAATAAATGTAACTTGATTTAATGATATTACTGTGATATTTATAGTCATTAAATAAAAAATAGAGGCGTATTAATAATATGATTTTTATTATTTACAATGCACTCAAATTTTTTATTATATAATAGTGTGTATTATATTTTATATCATTAAAAAAAACTAGAAAATTTTGAAGATTTAGTAAATTTCAAAGACTATTGTTCAGATTTATATCTATTATTAATTATATTTAATATTAATTTATAATTATTATTAATTTATTAAATAATTTATTAAATAATAGAACATAATAATAATAAAAAATAGTAATAATAATAATTAATAAATAATAAATAAAATTAATAAATAGAAAATAATAATAATAATTATTAATAAAATAAATATAATTAAATATAAAAGTGCAAGCAATGTTGGTAATGTAATATAGTTAATTTTATTAATCAATATGTGAGGCATAAGTTTTATTTTTTCATAGGGTTTATCATAGTTTTAAATTTTTCTATAAAAAATTGATAAATTAATTATTTTTAATTTTTGTTTCAGATATTCATAAAGAATCGCATAGGTTTTCACAACACGAAATCGTCGATTATTCGAAAATTTTGTTCGATCATACACGAGATCAGATCATAGTCGGAGCAAGGTGAGTTATTATATTATTTATATTATTTATTTATTTATATATTGTGAATAATAAATAAATTTATGTCTTAAAAATAATATTGCCATGGATTATTTGAGATAATGTCTTTGAGATTTGCTCCTATAATTTTATAGATATATTTTACACATAGAATAATATTTAATAAATTTTCATAGAAATAGAACCACAAATATTTAAATATCTAAATAACAAAATTTGACACCTATTTTAACACTTTATGAGAATAGAGTAATAGATAATTGGTAAAATTTAAGACTTATTTTATAGTAGAGTATGGTTACATTACTGCTAATTTTGAAAATAATAAATTTAGATCCCCCTAATCTTATCATACTTTATTATAAAAAAGGCTTTTATTTTACCAATCATCTGTTATTACAAAGTGTTGAAATAGGTGTCAAATTTTGTTATTGTGATTCTATTTCTAAGAAAATTTAAAGCAAGGTATTAAATTGATTTTTAAGACATTGATCGTGATCGATGTCCTTATATGTTATTCGTATAAATTACGAAAAGATTTCATCCTCGGCATATTTTCCCCAAATATGGAGCACCCGTCCGCCCAACAGAGACTCCGACAGAACTTTCTTACATAAATATTAATACAAACAAATAACAGATGGTTATTAAAAGTGCGTAATATGAAATTTTTTATTCGAAACTTGTGAGAATGTATTAAGCTGACTTATATTATATATTAAGCTAAGTTAATAAATAAATCAAAATTTTATCTCTAATTAAAATAAATAAATTTTATAAATAATAATAATCTATTCAATTAATAATAAAAATTTTATAACACGATTAAAAATGTAGGAATAAATCTTCCAATATAAATTCCAAAATATAATAATTATTATACTATTTTTTCCTAATTCATATAAGGTAATATTTTTTTGTTTCAATAAACTTTGATGATATTGATTTGAATGATATCGATGTTTGTTAGAATATTTAATATAAGTAATTGGATTCGTTTGTTATAAATAATATACCATATTGTTTATATATTGCATCCGTTGATAGATTTAGTAATAATATTAACTTCCCGTAGGGCAAGTTATAGTAATCGCAAAAAAATCGAAAATGAAAATTTTTATATATCTTTACGTTTCAGAGGTTTTTGAACATTTTGGCATACCTTAGAAAAAATGGATGTATGTGTGTGTGTATGTGTGTGTGTGTATGTATGTATGTATGTATGTATGTATGTATGTATGTACGTGTGTGTATGTATGTGCGGATACAAATTTTCGTCGACGATATCGGGAACACGGATCAACCGATTTGAGTAATTCAAAAAACATTCGATTCGTATTGACAAGGAGACGTGCTGATTAGTTTTTGGCGAAGGCAGGTCTAGCCGTTCCGAAGATACGGGGCAAAAAGTGCCAAAAACGGTACCTCCGTTTTTAAGAGAACGGAGCGTTCGATTTGAATAATTCAAAAAAAGTTTTACTTGTATTGACAAGATGTAGAATTGATCAAATTTTCATGAAGGCAGGTCTAGCGGTTTCGGAGATCTAATGAAAAAAGTAAAAAAAAATGCCATTCGGCGGTTAAAAATGATCATTAGACATATGCACATCAAATTATCAGATATTTTATAGAGATTTTAACAATAAGTATAATTTTTTTTTACATTTCTATGGGTTCCGTACCAATGCTTATGCGTTAGACGGCTTGCAAGCTTTGACATTTCGTCTCTATGCAGTTCAAAGCACGATTGCTTTGAAAAAAAGTTCAGATTTTCCAAAATATGTCAAAATGAAGAAAACATTTTTTTTCAAAAAATTTTTTTTTTCAAAAAAAAAATTTTTTCTCAGAAAAAAAATTTTTTTTTTTACAAGTAAAAAAATTTTTTTTTTCAAAAAAAAGTAATTTTTTGTCAAATTTATAGTTTCTCAAAAATCTAATTTTTTCGAAGTAATTTTTTTCAGAAATGTTAATCGTTTTTAAAAAAATAATAATTTTTGGTACGGGAAGTTCCAGCAATTTGCCTTAAGGCACGATGCCCTAATTGCCTTAAGACAGAATTCCACTTACAGCTAGTTTTGTTTTGTAATTGTCAACATAACAAGTAACAGTTTTCATTAGAACAATGAAATGCCTCGCCCTGAATATTTCAAACAGCACATATGGTTGTGGATAAAATATATATATATATATATATATATATATATATATAAATATATATATTAAAATTCGTGAAACTAATTTATACCAGGTGTTTAAGAAGAAAAAATTCATTGAGTTACTAAACCATATTTTATTAGAGATTTAGGAAATAAACTCTTTCATCAATTATCTTAAAAAAAAACACAATTGATAAAATAAAATTGAATCCACGGATATATAAACCAAAATAATAAATAATACTATTTAATTTTTAACTTTCAGTTTCAAACTCATATATAAATTAAACTCATATATTAAATTAAACTCATATTATTTCATCATTAATTGCATATGATTTATTAAATTACATTTGTTGTAATGTGTTCATTTGATTTAAACATTTTAATTTAATAAATTTATTTATTTTTTATTATATATAAAAAAAAATATTGATTAATAGTATTGAACTATGAATTGTTCATTACATTCAAATTTTAATCTGGTGGATTTTAATAATAGCCACAGCAAAGCGTGGCCGGGTATGCTAGTATATATATATATATATATATATATATTCATATAAAGGGTATGTAGGATGTAGGATATTTTTTAAAAGAGTGCCAATTAAAAGTTATTTATGAGGGTCAATTCTCAGACACCTTATGTTATAATTAAAAACCATAATTAATACCTTTGTATACCTTTATAATAAATTAGAAAAACGAATCGAATTTATAGAGAGACGATTATGAAACATATAATAAACTTAGACATACTTATATTTATATATTGATATACAATATATAATAACATAACTAAACAGGAATAAAATTTAAAAAATGGTATGGTGCAGTATTTAAAATTTGTTTCACAATTGAACGTTGGACTAAACAAAGTCAGAATTTAAATTTTATTTTCCTATTTTTATTTTTAAGTAAGCTTTTTTATCATGTTCGGTATTACAATAAATTTAGAAAAAAATAGAAAAAATACACTTCTATGCAAAATGAACTTTGATTTTAGTAATTTATACATTTCGTAGGGTGACACATTATTTTTTTAAAAATTCCTATTTTTTGGGGCATTAAATAAGCTACTAGAAGAGATTTAAAAACCTATAAAAAATAAACATACATTATGAACTATGTTAAATTTCAAACAAATCATAAAAAAATAATTTAAATTAATTTATCCGTTAGATTTAATTTAATAATGTAACCATATCAGAACTCTAGTCTAGTGTATTTATAAATCAGCATATCTAACGTCCTAACGGGTTCAAAACGATTAAGATTTGATTGCTGAAATTAATTATCATTATATTTGATTTAATTAATCAATTAATATTCGCACAACATATATATATATGAGTAAAGTAAGTAATAATACTATAAATATATATATATATATATATATATATATAATATGTCGATATATTCTTATCCCGAGTGTGGGATCCAATTGGCGCCAACGTTTAAGATTCTTGCGACATTCCAATGTGCCACAGTACTAGAAAGTTGTATTTCTTATGATTTTGTATTTATTTCTCATTGAATTCTGTGTAAATTATTTAACTACCTGTATAAATAATAATATCATATTGAAGAATTTTCTTATTTCAAATCACATTTTGCAACTTTTCGTTTGAACTAGCACGTCTACGAACCGTACAAAGTAGAAGAAAGAACCATAATAATGGAATTTGTAATAATAGATATATTAATGTTTATTAGAGTGTTTTTTGTTTATAAGATTGCATTGCATTATTATGGGAATTTTAAAGTTGTTGTTATACTAAGGATTTTTTGTTTGAATTTTCATTTTTTAAATTTTCGTTTGAAGTAACACGAGTGCCAACTGTATGATGTGAAGCAAGTAATCGGGAGAATTGATTTATGAAAAATTGTTATATTATAACAAACTTTGTGCTAAGTTTAAAATGTTTTACAGCATACAATTATTTAAATTCCAAAGTTATTATTACATTAAGAATTTTATCTTAAATTTATAGTATTTACTGCATATTATTAAAATTTCAGTCATTATTATATTAGGATTATTTTATTATAATTTACATTTTTATTTTCCGTAGAGTAGTTATAGTAATCGGCCAAAAATCGAAATTGAAAATTTTTGCATTTCTTCACGTTTCAGAGGTTTCTGAACATTTTAGCATATCTCAGAAAAAATGATGATGTGTGTGTGTGTTTTGTGTGAATACAATTATGTTCACATTTTGTTTAGATTCAACCGTTTAGGAGATAAAGAGCAAAGAATGTAGAAAAAAGAATTTAAGTTTTTGAGGGCACAGATCATCCGATTTGATTGATTCAAAAAACATTCGATTCTTATTGATAGGGAGATGTGCTGATTAGTTTTTGGTAGAGGCAAGTCTAGCCGTTTCAGAGATACAAACACATTCAAAAACTGCCTCGGTATCTTCGAAATGACGGGACCTGTCTTTGCCAAAAATTAATACTTATACTCGGTATAGATTCTGATTAGAATCATTTAAGCGAAGGCAAACTTTGATATTTTTTATATTTTTTTTTATATCGTAGGCCTATAATATTTTAGTATATTTTACCAGTTCTAATTTAAAACAGATTTAATACTTTTAACAAAAGAATCTCTGCAAGTAAAACGGTAATTTAAATTTATGCAAATCGGCAGTCGCGCGGATTCAACATTCAAGAATTTGTTTAACAAAAGATTCACCTCATCTCATTCTTGGAACTTATAATATTTATTGTCTCTTGACATTTGTTGTCGCAGATGTAAATCAATAATAAATCACACAAATCGAGTTCTGAGAATTGTATTATATAACATAAACATTTATACCATAGGTTCACAATCTGTTATTATTTTTCAGTGATTATCTCCTGAGACTATCCTTATCTAATTTGTCTCTGATTGAATCCACTTGGATTCCGCCGACTGAAATTGCGACGAAAAGTTGTCTCGATAAAGGACAATCAGAAGCTTTTTGCAAAAATCATTTCAGGGTTTTATTGGAATTGGAGAACGAAGACTCCATATTGGTCTGTGGCACAAACGCCTTTTTTCCTCAATGCTGTGTGAGAAAGGTGAGTGGTAAAATAAAAATGCTTCCTTTAAAATTACTAAGTTTATTTTAGATGTTACTTGTTTCGCGTTTCTGGAGCAAAAGAATTATTTTACATAGTTTAACATAAAACAAAAATATAAGATGGCGGATACATAGTTATAGTAGGGGAACACTATTGCCAACATCACTAATAGTAATGGCGGGACATTTGAATTACAAATATAGATAACATTACATAAAAAAATGCGACAAACAATTTTGTCCAGTGAGAATGATAAAATCAAGTACATTTGCCACCAACCCTTAAATCTGTTTTTTTTTAGATTACCGATCTCAAACAGCTGGACAATGTGCCAGGGCCGTCGGAGTTTGCCCTTATTCCCCTTTGGCCAACTCGACTGCCATTTTGATCTCCGAAACAACAACAAACAATTTGTTCACAACAGGGATGGATTTTTGGCAAGGGATCGTTTTGGTCAACTCGACAGGGATGGTAGTGCGAAGAAAAATTTTGGTTTTCTCGGAAAACAAATTTTGTATGCTGGGGCTACAATGGACTTCTCTGGTCAAGACGCTGCCATTTATAGAACTGATCTGTCGAATGGAAAATCAGGCAAGGGGAATAAATTAGGAATCAAAATTAGCAATAAAGTAGTTATTGATTAATTTGTTGTTCAGGTTCTCTTCCATCATTAAGGACTCACCAATATGACCCCATTGGCTGAACGACCCACAGTTGTTGGATCCTTCAAAGATGAATCGTATGTCTACTTTTTGTTCAGAGAAGTGCAGTCGAGTACATCAATTGTGGAAAGGTACATAAACTTGTTTTTGTATCAGCTGCAGTTTTTTTTTAAACTGTTTTTTGTTTCCAGGTGATTTATTCTCGTATAAGCTCGTGTATGCAAAAATGATTCTGGAGGTCACTCGATGATGCAAAAGAACTGGTCATCATTTTTAAAAGCAAGATTAAATTGTTCGAGATCTGGAGGCACCCATTTTTTTTAATGAAATTCAAGATATGGCTTACGATGAGGATGAAAGAGTTGTTTATGCCATCTTTTCTACACAGTGTTAGTAAATTTATATCCAGATCAAAAAATCCTACTGATTATCGAATAATGTGTAACTGTGTTTTTTTATTTATTTTTATTCAGGAATAGCATTGCAGGATCTGCAATTGCTCTTTCAACATGTCGGCTGTCCAAAAATCCTTCTCAGGCTCATACAACACACCAGCCAACACCTACGAGTCAATGG